CAGGGAACCACTGATGAGGACCGTTGGAATCACCATTATCACCAGAGACGGACACATTAGCCTGAAAATCCGGAGCCCCTGAATAACGCCGAAAACAGTTGGCTCCCGTGTGACCAAAACGGTCACAAATTTGACACGGATCATCATAGCGCCAAAAACAATTGGCTTCCGTGTGACCAAAACGGTCACAAATTTGACACGGATCATCATAACGCCAAACACAATTGGCTCCCGTGTGGCCGAAACCGTTACAAATTTGACACGGATCATCAACGTCACGTCGTTGACCGTACCGCTTCTGATACGATGTATCTTGGTTTGATGCCATCGGCTACTGCTACGAAGTGAGGAACATGGATGTTGGAAAAGAAAACCCTGGCTAACTAATACCAGATGAGAATATAATTGTATTGTATTCAATAATAATGTCTGAGAGTACAGGGAGCGAATATATAGAGATGCTAGATAGAATCCTAGTCTAACACGAATAATATAATCCTAGTCTAATATGGATAATAGAGTCCTAATAGTCCTAATACGAATGACCTAGAAATATGGAACAACTAACTTGAGCGTGAATAACGGTAATTATATCAAATTGATACTGTAATTGTGTTAAAATAAAACTGCAGTACATATTTGATGTATGGACCACAATGCATGGTGGACCGCAATCCACGGTATAATTTGCCCTTTAAGTGCATATCATATTCAGATTAACCCCATTCGTACTAAGTCAGGCCTATTAAGGGACAAAGTGTGAAACTATTATTTAAAAAAAAAAAAAAAAAAAAAAGTTTGACGTAATATTCTCGATATAGAGATCCCAAGTCCAGCTGTCCTCATTCTCAATGGATATGCCAACTACAACTCACATGCAGTTCTCCACGAGTCGAGTACTTGGGGTTGGCCTGGGGGCCAATAAGGTGATTATCCAATTGGAGTTTGTTTCCATCTTCAAACTGTGCCATGAACATGGAAGACTTAATTACGTCACTCACATATATTATATATACTCCTTTCGTCTCATTTTATGTGTCTGATTCGATTAACGAGGTTTAACTAGAGATATACGATTTGAATATATATATATATATATATATATATATATATATATATATATATGTGTGTGTGTGTGTGTGTGTGTATTATTTTATATTTTTATTTCATATTAAAACTTTTTAAACAAATCAAGTTAAGGTATTCCGAATTTGAATATTCTAGTCGAATCGAATATATCTACTATACTAATAAGAGCCCAAGAGAGTTAGGCCTATTAAATTAAATATGTACGCCACTTTATTACTCGTATTAAATTAAATAAATTAATAGCTACAACAAAAACTAATGCATATGCATTTAATTAATTTAGAATTAGATGTCTATAATGTCTTTTATTTAAAAAGAAAATATAATTTTATTAGTTATATTATATTTATTTTCTACAATTCAAAGATTTCTTACCTTCAAATATACTATTTATTATATTCACTACATTGTCCATTGTCTTCTTTTTACATTATCTTGTAATTAAATATCAAATTTATTTCTTCAAAAAAAAATCAAATTTATAATACAAAATATGTTTTATATATATATATATATATATATATATATATATATATATATATATATATATTTTATTTACCAAGTATTTTACACATATAATAAATATTAATATTTTGTTCAATACTTTTACATGATAACCTGCGACACACATCTCAAACACATGAAACATGTAGGGGAAAAACTACCACTGCCAAATATCAATAGGTACTTGTAAGATGAAGAGTTCATAGTACAACTAAGAATCTAAGATCTCAGTCATATATACAGCAAGACAAATATAAAGCTTCCTACACCATAATCTAATTGCACGATGAATCTCTCTATGTTATCACTAGTAACACAATTGCACATGACACAGTACCAATAAAAAAAAAAGGGCATGTACTGAAGATGAAGACAATGACAGTGCTACCCAAAAGAGAATTAAGAAGAATTAGAGAAATTTAAAACAAAAGTAATATTTATTTAGACTATCGCTTTTAGGCTAGCGTTATTACAAAATTACAAACATTTATTTAAGTGACAATTATAATCAATCTCTCATATATTATCTTACATTTATATACTTTAAATTACCGATTTAAATAAACAAATTCAATATTTATTTGTCTATGCATAATAATACATTGATATATATATATACTTTGTAATACTTATTTAAAAATAATAATTGGGCATTATCCCATTCGTGTAAAGCGCGTAAAATAATTAGTGTATATAATATGGATCAAGATTTACCATATTTATGGTGGACCTTAGTGGCTTGGTCCACAATATAACGACGGCCTCCCATCCAAGGCATAGTTTTCAATCTCTTTAGCAATGGGGACCTCTTTTCTTTGGACCCAAAACAGCTAAGAAAGGTCAGCAACTATTTACATGGTTCCAAATCAAACTTTCATTGGATTTTACTGTTATGGCTGCCCTACTAAGGTCGTCTTCCTTGTGGACTCTTTCCAAGATTCCAACTCCTTGGACCCAACCCTCTAACTTCTTCCAAGAGAAAACTATTCCCAAAACTTTCAATTTTATTCTTCTCAAAAAAAAAAAATTTACATTTTTATTTTTACTATTTATGCGAGAGGGTAACAGTGTTGTAAAAATCAGTCTAGGCACTAGGTTCCCTTAGACTAAGGCGATTCCAGCCCTAGACGGTTTTTATCGGTTGACCGATTAATTGACTGACTAAGCACCCTAGGCGCCAACTCGGCGAGTGCTTTTTTTACCTACTCGGTTATTCCTCTTTTATATTTCTCCAACCATGTACTCAACTAACCATCTAATATATGCAGTTGACTATTTTTAGGGATTATAACACTTTAACAATTTATTGCCCTGCGTAAGAAAAGTAGAGATGATATATTCGAATATTATTAGGCCAGCTAAATGCTTTAGACGCTAGACGCCTGCCTAACGTATTCTGCAACATTGGATGATAAATTGGCTTTTGACCTAAGGTTATAGATATAGTAATTTAAACATGAACCCAATTTTTCAGATCTAAGAATCAGCTTTTTGAGAGAATGATCCAAGCTCACTAAATTGGGGAAACATGCCAACTAGTTCAACTTGGCATGCAACGGGTAGATTGACCAATCTACACCTGTAATAATGACAATAAAGTCTATAATAGTCACTTGAATGTACCGCCACCAATCAAGAGACACCAACCAATTTTCAAGGTATTACTGTACATAGTTGGGATAAGCGACTCAATTTCAAAGATATTTGCCATCTTTAGTAAATGACAATTAGCTGATTGGATTAGAGAGTATGACTAGTTGATAACATTAACTAATTGTAAAAATATGTTTAGTAAATTAACTGTTAGCTAACAGCTGTTTGGTATAATTTCTTTTTTTAAAAAGTTAATTGAATAAGTTGCTTTAAACAGCTTTTTAAATTTTAGCATTTTAGAGTTACAAAAAACTGATTAACCAAACACTTATATTGATTTTTTAATCCAAGTCAAACAGCTAATAGTGGTCAAATAAACTAATAAGCTAACTATTTTACCAAATAGGATCATTATTGCACAACTAGCATGCAACGGGTAGATTGGCTGACCTATGCTTATTGCTTAGTGACAACATAATCTATTAAATGAGAGGTCTCAAGTTTAAACCCCAGTGTAAAAGGATTGACCCTTTGTGTTTCTGTAGGTTGAGAAAAGTATGTATGAATACATTCTAATAGATTAATAGTATTTAAAATTATTTAAAAAAAAAAAAAAAAAAAAAAAAACTTAGAATGTAATATCATGCCACCTAGACGGTACCGCTACTAACCAAGAGACACCAACCAATTCAGTTTGCAATGTATTAATATACATATTACGGATAGTCGACTCAATTTGCAAGGTATTAGTGTACATGATAACTTGGATCAAAGTCTTTCTAATCTCTCTACATAGAGTAGACTCATCATATGCTAATTGATTATAGATTTGTAATATTTTATAATGCACTCATTGTCTAATAGAAAAATCATATAGATCATTTCGAATTGAGTTAATACCCAAAATAATTATCGATTATCGTAATTTTTCTCAATTAATTTTGATCTAAATAATTTTGGTGATCTAATGCAGTCACAGACTTTTGTATTTTTGCTCAATTTAGTCATTCGTTTGTTATTTCGTCAAATTGGTGTTAAACAAAGGGACAATTCAGTCATCTCAATATTGGTCTCTCTTTACTCTCAGCCTTGTGAAGTGCGAAATCTCTCTTTCTTTTACGAATTACTCCTAGAATTACTCCCAGACCTAATATTCGTAGGTTTGGGAGTAATTCGTAAAAGAAAGAGAGATTTCGTACTTCGCAGGGCTAAGAGTAAAAAGATACCAATATTGAGATTACAAAAGAGTTAATACCAATTTGGTCCCTCTAATATTATGATTTCACCACTTTGATCCTCGACTATCAAAGTTGCTCAATTTAGTCCCTAACTATGTAATTTTTACCTAAAATGGTTCATCGACTTTAAGGTTTCACCACTTTGGTCCTTGACTACTAAAGTTGCTCAATTTAGTCCCTAACTATGCAATTTTTATCTAAAATGGTCCATCAACTATTAAAATTTCACCACTTTAGTTCTTGACTCTCCAAAAAAGGTCCCCAAATCCACACTAAACTTAATAGTCGAGGAACCATTTTAGGTAAAAATTGCATAGTTAGGTACTAAATTGAGCAACTTAGTAGTCGATGACCAAATTGGTAAAATCCTAATAGTTGATGGACCATTTTAAGTAAAAATTGTATAACTATGGATTAAATTGACCAATTTTGGTAGTCGAGGATCAAATTGATAAAATCCTAATGGTCAAAGGACCAAAATTGGGTATTAACTCATTACAAAATTTACTGTTTTTTTTTTTTTGGGTGTGTGGGCTGGAGGGCTGTTGAGTTTTACTTAAACACGAAACAATCAAGTGGACAAATTGATAATGCAGCCCATCTATAATAATAATACAAATACAACACAACAAACATATGAATCACATGAACCATTCTTTTTGTCTTTCCAGTGACAATTAATGAATGTGTGAAAAAAAAAAAAAAAAAAAAATGTTCTCTCTTGCAAATTTGCAATGTGGTGATGTATTACTGAACTGTACAGCATGTGAGAAGAAAAAAGCTTGAGATGAGGTTATTGTATTTGAGTAAATAGTGAGTGATCAAGATTTATCTTTGGATGGAGATGTTATGAGGTGATGCAACGTTGAGGCTTGGATAACAGCGGTAGGACTAGGTTCTCGTTCTCTAGTGCGCACCTGGCGTAGTCCCTGGTTTCTTTCCACGCTCAAAAGACGCCTAAATGGGCGTGGAAGGAGTCGCAGAAGCCGCGATGAAGTTACCAGCAGAATCACACCCATCACAATGAATAGCCTGTATCATCATCATCATCATAATAAGATCGATCTAGAGCAGTATTAGTGTTTAAGAGAGCTACAAGGTTATTCACTCTGGATTATGAATAAATTTGGGGGACAAAACACAAGTATAAATACCATCCGAGCAAAAGTGAGAGACGAGCCATTGGCGCTGAAGGCAAGCGCTCTCCCAAAGCAAGCATACCAGCAAGTACACCAGTAACAATTGATGCAACCGCAGCACATGTGGACACTACAATTGCTCTCCCATGCTTCAAACCGCGTGTCTGTTTTCATTTTCAAAGGAAACACAACCTTTTTTCTTAACAAACACTGATAGGTATATGCATGGAATACAAGTTAAATGGTTTTATGCTGGGCTGTTACTTTGTTAAAAAATACCTGATACACAAACCCAGAAGCGCTACAGCATATGCTGATCGAGATACAAACGGGTACCAGCAGTTTCGAGAAGCCTTGCTCCAAAAATAAAAACCCAATTTTCGATATAACAGATGACATCCTGCAATAATAACCTTATTTATTTCTCTGCTCAAATTGGAGATGCCTCAAGAAAGCATGCATTCAGAAGATCAATTGGACCCTTCCTACTAATGCATAAAATGAAGGTTGGTCCTCAAATTTGTCAACATTTTACAGAGCATTCATTGTCATTCAGAAAGAAAATTCAATTTATGTACCCAAACAAAATGCCAGACTCCAACCCATAAATTATTTCCTCAATCACTTCATACTGTACCTGCACGATGGATAAGTGTCATCAAATATCAAGAAGCTTCAAAGAAATAGTTTATCAGTGGAAAAGAAAATCCATACCAACTCTTGTTCTCTTCGTTGGCGTCTATAGATGCGAAGCCAGCCATTAAGGAGCACCTACATTCAACAAAAACTTCTGAGACCATTGCAAAAAGGTGGGTATTTGAGGGGGTGGGGGACGGTTAGGGTGAGACAAGTGAGAAACTTCTCTAGCAGTCCAAGTTAGACGACTGAGTATGAGCAGAAACCAGTTTCCAAAAGCACCCATAAACCCAGGAAGTTTGAGATTTGTGGCAAATTTAAGATTGCAACTTATTAAAAAAGCAGAACAATGTTTGCAAAAATCACAAGTAATTGAAGATGATGATAAATCCATTTTCTTGGTAAAGCACAATAAAGACACGTTATTCAGATTCACAATGATTTTATTTTTAGTCAAATATTAGAATGTTAGTGAAATGATAATTTTTTACTTTTATCCTTGATAAGTAATAATTTTATGTCTTGATAAAACTTATCATACATATCCATATTCTAATTTGGAGTATCAGATGGCACATAGAGTAAGATACCTACAAACAAGAATGCAACAGCAAATGCCAGCCATGGTAAATTGAAAATGGAGATTGATGAAGCGCTCTGCTCCTCCCCTCCAGCACCAACACCTGCATGCCCACATTTACATATATTAAGTAAACCATAACACGATTAATGGCACATAAAATAAACTATTTTTATGAGTAAAATAATCCACATGGAAAACAAATGAAATCTCCGGTAGTTGACTGAAAAATATTACGGTTACTTCTCTTAGCTACAACTTAAAGATTTTTCCTCTTTCCTTATATGACTTGTCTACTTCCAGGAACCAAAAATAATTAAGGTTTAAGAACTCATGCTTAAAAGAATAAAAATAATAATAAATGAAAATTTATGTCACAAAGAATATGATTGCTCCCAGTAGTTCCGCATTTCTGCTGGGACCAACATTTTCTTAGATGAATGAGTCCCTCCTTAGACATGGTTAAAGCAGAATTGGCCTTGTCTAAGATGTAAAGCCATTTTTAGTTTCTTTGTTAAAACATTTAGCTCCAAGGACTTACATTACCTATAGTGCCAATGCCAGCCAAAGTGATTCCCACCCAATCAATAGTGTTCATAATCTCCTTCAGATAAAAATGTGAAAAGATTGAAAGGATGGCAAGCCCACTGCCAGAAACAGGCTGAATGACAGAAACCTGAAAGGTATAATCAAGGTCATAACTTTTAAGATATGATGGGATGAACATTGAAGCTAATGTTCTGCACGCTTCTTGTTTATAGTCTATTAACCATAATGTTCTACCAGTTAAATTTGGTTGGTAGGAGTATTTTAATTAAATGAGCCGTGCAACTGAATCCAAAGTCCAATGGAGGGAAACCAAGCATACATAACCACAAGTTTACTGCTGATGCACTTACTGGGGCCAGAGATAATGCTCGCAACATTAAGAGGGCTCCAAAAATATCCATTAGGAAGCCTATAACCCAAACTTTGTTAAAAGCATATGCTCTTATCACCTGCAAACACAAACCGCTCAAAATTACTGAGAGGCTGAATAGAATCAAGACATTTAATGTTCTAAAACTAATCAATTAACAGATAAAAAGTACACTAATGTACGGAGTATTATTTAACAGAAACTTCCAACAGGTAAATGCTTGTAGCACCTCATCAAGAATAAGAGTTGGACAAAATCAAATCTAGAAATAAGCCCTAGCCACATATGATACTAAGGTACAGCCACATATACATCTGAATGTATCTCGACTATAATCAGATCACAATTACACTTCACAAAGTTAGGTTGATTTGTCAGAAAAACTACTCTAAATTAAAATGACTGTAAGTACAGAGGAAGATGTTTGACTTTAATTTCTAATATGATTGGCTTAAAATTGCTGAATTTCCTTGGAATTCTGTGAAATATAAACTGAACATTTTTAATGTAAAATCACAAACTCCTTTTCAAAGACTTAAATAATAAACCTTGGAGCAAAAATAAAATAAATATTCCCACTTTATTAGATAAGAATACTTGTCAATGTTTGTGTGTACCCTTTCAGAAGTTTTTCAATAGTTATTACATTTAAATACATTGACAAGGACTGTGATATGCCAGCATAAAGTACGAACATAAAACAATGGACTCTTAAGAATAAAACCATCAATATCAACTACAAAAGTTATAAAGGCAAATGTTATTTGTACCGAATCTTATACCATTTAAGATGGTTTGTGGCATGTGTCATTACCCTTCATATTATTCTACTACAAGTCAATCAAGAGAGGCAGCACGACATTCTTACAAAATTTGGTGCAAAAATGTAGTAAAAGCATCATAAGTTCATAACCCTTTGAATTAATTTTAAGAAGTTCCAAGAATGCATAAAAGCAACCCAATCAAACACATCATCATTTATGTGGATCACAGTTCACAGCATATCCTAATCACCAAATCATCAAAGGCTAACCCCATGTAAAACTCCAATGCCAGATTGACAAAACACGAATCTAAAGATAAGATTGGCCAATTCCTCACATCCATACTTCTTAAGAAAGAACAAACAAGAAACAGCAGTAAATTTGATAAGATACCCAGATTTCATAAACCTGCAAAGAATTACTGTGATCTGAATCTCCATAACCAAAAACACACCTTTAGCTTGAATGAGAGAGGGGGGAGGATGATGGTGCCCTTCTTCTGGAGGACTTTGCCGATGTTGTTACCGGCGGTGGCCGCTACCGTGAGGCAGATTGATTCCCACATCTCTGTCGCGCGCGCGAGGGGGGGTTCCTTCTTGATTTTCCTGAAGAATGATCTTAGCTTGGATCAAACACTGGTTATTTCTTTAAACAAATTCAACTACTGCACTCATCTACAGCCTAATTGCCAATATTTAATACAAGATTTGTAGCTCCAAATGATCTTCTAATAGTATATTCCTCTTTTTAAGTATGTTTTTCTTTTTTGCTTTTTCCATTTTTTTCGAAATGTGCAAGTATGCTTTACTTTCAGTGCTTACAAGTTCCTCTTTGCTTTCCCAAATCATTTGGGAATGTTTTCGGAGCAATAGAAACGCTCCAACAACACCTTTTTCTCATGTTTGACATTGTACCAATAAGGCCATCATTGCATAGTGGACACGATTCTATGTCATAATTATTGAACCTTATAATTATAAAGTTATATATTCATAATTTTTGAACTTTGTATATTCATAATTATTGAATTTATTCACAATTACAGAACTTTATGTTCATAATTGCTGAACTATATGTTTATAATTATAAAATTATATATTCATAATTTTTAAACTTCATATTCACAATTATTGAATCTCTATATTCCTAATTACAGAACTATATGTTAATAATTATAGAACTATATATTCATAATTTTTGAACTATATATTCATAATTATGAACATTTTTGGAACTGTGTCCACCTTGCAAGGTGGACACAGTTTCACAATATAATTTGCCACAATCATGTGTCGTTTCATTCCGTTGGAAGGAAGGAATTAAAGAGAAATGAATTGTAATTTAGTAGAGAAAAAATAACCTGAACATTTTAAATTTTATTACTTGGTAGGCAGAAACAAAATGACTATAAATTGAAAAAAAAAATTGTATAAAGACTAAAATACTCTTGTAAGATGAAATTCTCAAAATGGTTCTCCGACTATGGTATTTTCTCAAATTGGTCCTATAACTTTTAATTGATCCTCAGACTATTAGATTTTAAGTCAAATCGATCGTCTGTTAGTTAGGCGTGAACTTGGCAGTCATATTAGAGGCAATGTAAATTTCCAATTTTTCCCTCTAATTTGACGGCCAAGTTCGCGTCTAACTAACAGATGATCGGTTTGGCTTAAAATCTAATAATTGGATGACCAGTTTGGGTTCAATTAAAAGTTATAGGACCAATTTGAGAAAGGACCATAGTCAGAAGTAGGGGTGAGCATAATTACCAAAAAATCGACAAAACCGATAACCGAACCGACCGATAATTTCGGTTATCGGTTATAAGCCTTAAAAAAAAAGTTATTCGATTATTTATCAGTTATGAAGGTGTAATAACCGCGGTCACCGAATAACCGACGCTATTATATATATATATATATATATATATATATATATATATATATATAATAAATATTATAATATGTTAGTTGTGGCTGTTGTGCAAATCTCCATATATACACTATGCAGTAACTAAATAAACTTACTGAAAGATAGTAAGTTTATTTAGTTACTGTAAATTTGTATATATACGTAGATGAGCTTCTTAGAAATAATTATTTCCTAACAACGATTTATATAATAAAGGTTGTAATTTCATAAGATATTCACGTTGATGATTAGTGATGTGTAAAGGCGGAATTACTGGTGAAATTCCCTTCCTCTCATTCTGTTAAAATTTAAGTGTATAAGGGTTAAAAGATGTATACTGGATAAGGTTGTGGGTCTCAAAATCCTAAAGGGATTTCTATTTCTAAAGGAGGTCACATTCCTAAAGGGATTTCTATTCCTAAAGGAGGATCCCCGTTCTTCTTGAAAGAGGGTTTCTCATCACATCTATAAATACCCAGGAAAACTCTAGGGATCTTAACGGTTCCAAATCTCTAAGTCTTCTAGTCTCCCTATCATCAGAAGGTGAATAAGGTATACGGATCAGAGAGGTGAAGCATTATATTCTTGATTCATTCAATCTAGAGATTACATCTTCAATGGAACCAAGTAAGTCCTATCTTTCCTATTTAATTAAAAGTCTATGATCATGAACATTGTTTAGTTGATTGATTTGTTTTACATGCGATCATTGTTAATTGTTCTTCCGCATTTAAGTTATAGCGCATAAAGGATTATTTAACATTTAGTATTAGAGCCTGCTTGTAAATTGATTAATCACTAAAATTAGGGGTCATGATATTTGGGGATTTTTTAATTATAAGGTTTGTCGATTGCCGCTGTTCGTATGATTTGTTTTGTCGATTGCTAACGATTCATATACGCACTGTTTATACTATCATACTGTGATTGAAACCAATTTTTGGTCTTCTTTTGACGTCAACATAATTAGCATCAGTACATATGTATTTGTACGTACTATTCAAGATATATTTATATCTTGTGTATGTATTGTACTGTATATGCCGCTGTTCATATGATTTGTTTTGTCGACTGCTATCGATTCATATACGCACTGTTCATACTATCATACTGTGATTGAAACCAATTTTTGGTCTTCTTTTGACGTCAACATAATTAGCATCAGTACATATGTATTTGTACGTACTATTCAAGATATATTTATATCTTGTGTATGTATTGTACTGTATATGTTTTATATATGTTAATTGTATACGTACATGCATGCTGTGATAGATGTTTGTTACTGGATTAATTAAACATTTGGTTTCAATATGACAGTATGTACTGTAAGTTCTTTGCTATGTTGGAATAATTAACAAACATATATGGTTGGTATGTATATACTGTAATGTATATATGTTTTGGAATTGAATCATATGGAATCATGTTTGTTGTATAGTGTTCGTACGATATATGATTCATATGTTATATGGTTTGTCTCTATCAAATCATGAATTATATGTTATAAGAGAACGACATATAAATTAAGGTTTATTTTGTTTGGACAATTAAATTGAGTTTATTTGGGTTTATTTAAAGTATTATGGACTCACTTTAAATTTTAGGCTCATTTAATTTGTGTTTATATTTGAGTCTATTTGGGTTATTTAAAGTATTATGGATTTGCTTTAAATTCTAAACTCATTTAATTTGGGTTTATATTTGAGTTGTTTGGTCTATTTAAGGCATTAAGGGGGCGTTTGGTTTAGGTTATATAACATAACCAAGGGAATGTGACATTCCAAATCTCACATTCCTATGTTTGGTTCACATTATCTCAGGGAATCTAACATTCCCCAGAAATGTCATATTCCCTCCACATAGGATTTTGAAGGGAATGTGATTCCCTTCAATTTCTAAGGTTATGTAAGATAACCTTGATTATGTTAGTTTATTACACACACACACACACACACACACACACACACACACACACACACACACATATATATATATATATATATAATTATTTTTGTAATTATATATTTTTTATTTTTATTATGTTAGGTTAGCATATAAAATAATTTTGTTTCTCAAGTTCAATATTTTAGCGAATATTTTAAAATCATGTAATTATATATGATACCGTTATCTTATTTATTTATTTTAATTTTTAAATTTATTAAAATATATAAAAATATGTTAAGGATATTATAGTGTGTGAATAAAAGATAACCCTAAACCAAACATGATTATATTACATACCCCAATTTTAACCAAACACAGGAATCTAACATTCCCAGTAATCTAACATTCCCAGCAATCTAACATTCCCTAAGGTAATCTGACATTCCGTGAACCAAACGACCCCTAAGGACTTGCTTTAAATTATAGGCTCATTTGGGATCAATTATGGTTGGAGGTTTTATCCACTTTTGGTTTATATATATGTTTATAAATGAATTATTAGCATAAAGCGAGTGCGTTAGTCGCCAAAGCGGCCCACTCAAGGTAATAGCTAATAATCATTTATGTTTATAGCATATATATAAATTAAGGTTTACTGACATAAATGAGTTATTAGCATAAGGCGAATGTGTTAGTCGCCAAAGCGGCCCACTCATGGTAATAGCTAAATAATCATTTATGTTTATGTTACAACATAAATTAAGGTTTATTCACATAAATAAATTATTAGCATAAGACGAGTGCGTTAGTCACCAAAGTGGCCCACTCAAGGAAATAACTAAATAATTATTTATGTTTACAAATGTTTATCGTACACAGGTTTTTTGCATCATTGAATGACACTAAAGGATTGATAAACGTTTGTGATCATTAACACATGGTTCTAGCGGTTGCCCAAAGGTAGATCAGACATGTGATTAATGACAATTTAGGAGATTATGATTCTTGTTTTGTTAATATGTAGTGCATGTCCAAAGATGGCCTATATATTAAATTGAAACATGATGAATAATCTCATTCAAGTATGTGTGAATGATGCATGTCGGTAAATTGACATTGTATTTAAATTTGACCCAAAGGCGGATTTAAATGCAAACTTAAGGTTTATAAATTATAGTCTGAATAAATGTTTGTTACTCAAAGCAATTGATATGTGAGATAAATGTTTGCAGTGAACACCATGGTACCACACTTTAATGGTGGAGGCATCAAGTTCGACGGGCATAATTATGATGACTGGATCGAGTATGTCAAGTTTAATGCTGGCATGCATGGACCCGAGTCCGCTCTTCTTCAGGATAAGCCCGTTGAACCTACTGCTGCTAGCTCAGAAGCTGATAAAAAGCTGTGGGAGACATGGGAAAGGTCGAATCGATTGCTGCTTAGCTTTCTTAAGATGAGCATTGCGCCGAGTATTAAACCTTCCATGCCTAAAACAGGAAATGTAAGGGAATTCATGACAGAGATCAAGAGTTTTGCCAAAACAGACATTGTGGATAAGCCTGTGGTGGCAACTCTTATTAATGAATTGTCAACCAAAAGGCATGACATAAGTAAGTCCATGGATGAGTACATCACGCATATGGTTAACATTTACAACCGACTTAAAGGCCTTGATGTTGAACTTGGTGAAAGAGTTCCTGTGGAGTTCATTCTCAAATCCTGCTAAGGAAGGGAGTTTGAACAATTCCGTATCAATTATAATCAGCAAAAGGGAAAATGGACTTTAACGGAATGTAAGGCCATGCTGATTCAGGAGGAGTCAAGGCAAAGGGAGGTCTCAGGTTCCAAACCCCCTGTTGCTCACTTGACTTTTCATGACGGTCCTAATGTCGGTGGTAATGGCAGCAAGTTTAAAAGTAAAAAGAAGGGCAAGCATCCTATGAAGGTGCAAGGTAATGTTCATAAAGTGCAGAAATGCTATTTTTGTAACAAACCTGAGCACAAGACGGCTGAATGCCTGAAGAGGAAAGCTTGGATGGAAAAGAAGGGAATTTATGATGTTTCAACCTCCAATGGAAA